GCCTATTTTGGAATGGAATAATTTTTCTCTTCAGATATGAGATCATAAAGATGGTGTCTTATAACACGCAAAAGCAAAAACTATTTGTTACTAGGATGAGTTTTTAGTATAACACGAACCTACATCCCTGGTTTATGGATCCCATCCCCGTAGTGGTTTTCCAGAAACTGTGGAAAATGTTTCTTTACGGCAGCTAGTATCTGTTCGATTGGTGAAAAGCAAGTTTCTTAAAAGATTTTTGGTCAGGTAAGAATTCGACGAAATTCAAGCAAATTTTCTGGTGTCTGGAACACTGATTTAGTGATGGTTTTTTCAGCTATGTGAGTAGATGCTGAAATTCTCTTGATGGGAAATGATTTTTGTATTCTGTAAGCAGAGGTCTTTTTTGTACTATTGGTCTAGGTTTATTATTTTACCAGTTTGGAAGTTTCTTCTAAACTAATCTGTGGACTTTTACTCACTTTAGGAGTCAAGGAGTTGGGTTCACACCGCTTCTTCAGTCTCTTTTTTTTTTAATCAGGATTATGGTGGTTGATTGTCGAATTGTTAAGGAATCTAGCACCTATTGTGCACACTGTTGTTCATATTCTGTATTTTTTTGTTGATGCTGTCAATTATGTTGACAGCTTTACTAGAAACTGCCACTATGACAATAAGCTTTGAAGGTTGAAATAAAAGTGAAATTATAAAGAAATGTTTAAATATATTTGATCAATTTTATTTGCATTCATGTGGCAGAAGATTGATTTAGCGAAAGGTTGTTTTTAGTTTCAGTGTTTCGTTGGGAATAAACATGAATTTATTATTCAGCATCTGAAGAGAATCTTTCTGATGTGCTCGTATATACTTGAGTGTGTCTGCACGTTTGAGCAAGACCCGGTATTACGTATTGTCGTACATTTTAGTGCATTTATAAATTTCAGTTTTTTGCGCAATCCATTTCGATTGGGTGTTGGCACACCACTTTCTCAGTTTGGAATAGTGAATACATGTGCCACCATAAATTACCCATTCGAATGGCTTGTTCCACTCCGATTTGCTGTCCAATCGTTCGTTCGATTTGTTCATTTCTCCGAACTAAACATATGAACCGTTCACCCGCACCCTATTTAAAATTTTCATACAAGGTGTTATATTAACCTTGAATTTAAATGTTGTTTTTATTTTATACAACATTTGGTTTGCAGGAAAATTTATTGAGGATTTATTGGTACGATTTCGAAAATTTTATAGTTTGTGTAAATTAATTAACCTATTCGCGTTTATATATACGCATTGGCTAATATAAACAGTTTATTTTCCTCTCTTTCAGGTAAGTTTATAGCAAATTGTTAATATATTTAGGGAAACGTAAATAAGTGGAAAGCTGTAAGTAATCTGTTAATCTGAAATTTATAACTTGTGCAACAAAACAAAGGAAATTACTTAATGATATGTACAAAATAAAATTGATTTTAGTACAAATCACAAAAAATTTTATTCTTCACTGATTGTTATCTGCACTGGACGTCCAGTAAAGTTTTATAGTTGCATTTGACTACTGCTTCAATCCATTCACATTAGTTAATGTACATCGATAATGGATTTATGTTCAATAAATATAAATGAGAAGAAATCGAACAGTTCCGAAATTACCAATCGAAGAAACAATCACCGTGACGCATTAAATGATTGCATATTTCATAATAATATGTATGGAGTCTTTCAGAGCAAAAGTCAACATTGCCCACAGAAGTAATAAAATATTTTATGTCGGAAACACATTCGAAAATATTGATTCCCATATTAATTTTTTGGGTAACATATTAATTGTCAGGCTTATAGCTTGACATGTAAACCACATGAGAATTATAATACACATATAAGAAATACTGATGCCATTACCTTTGTAATTTCAATCCATATGTAACAGTTTTGATCTATTTTGAATCTATTAATTTAACTTATCTTTCAACAAAAATGTGAAATGAAAGACCCATGTCTCATTTATGGTCACGACTCATAGTAAAAACTCTACTTTGCTTATAATTATACGGGCAAATATTATATATACGAGTACCAATATATACAGTGGGGCTTACAGTTTATTTTGTGTTGTGAAATTTTATGCTAAATTTTGTAGATTTAGTGGTAAAGTTCCAAAAATTTTATTCAAAGCACATTCTGACCTCACATCTTATTTCGTGTATTGTTTTTGCCTCTAAAAATCGTGCATATAACGGGGCTTTGAAACTAATGGTTTCAAATGCATGTCAAGTTTATGTTTTATGTTATATTTTGTTTGCAATACAATACCTTCTACATCTGCTATATGATCTAACTGCTCACCACCAGATGAGATTGGTCTCATAAACTCTTACTTGACTATATTTTATATATAATTTGACTAACCTTGTGTTTCATACGATCTAATCCAACCCGGTTTCCAATTTCATATGCACAAATACGAAATTTTAAAGTATCTTTGAATGGCGTATAATAAGAACGAAGTTAGGAAAAATATGACAAGTTATTATGTTGTTTTTTTTTTTTTTTTTTTTTTTTTTTTTTTAATATTATGACATTAATAAAAAATTATCTATGTTTGCTTTTCCTAAAGTTCACAGAAATATATAGCAATCCAATATTTTTATGAAGCCATCGAAATTCATGCTTCAAACATAAATTTTTTTTGCACTTTTCATCTGGTATTGTTTAAAATCTTAGAGACATAGGTCATCATAGAGACATCATAGGTCTTAATAGAGCAAAGACAATACAATTTAAACAGTTGCACGATTCTTTATGGAGAGCTAAAAGATCCAAAAAATTTTTTTGTGTCAAAAGTAAACTGAATAAATAAAAATTAATTAACAAAATATATATTTTAGCCTTGGAAAGTATATTTACTTCTTTGCTCCTATCTTAATTATTTGAAAAACTCGCATGAAATTTTAATATCATAAATAATTTTTTATGGAAATTTGTAACACTTTATAGTATTACTAAGTGAAACTTAAGCGCAATCTGGTACCTAGTGGATCTATATTCAGAAGTTCAATTTGTCTTGTTTTTTTTTACTATTTCGTCTCGTCAATTAGACGAGAGATTGCTCGTAATGATACTATTTAGACGTTCAATAGAGAATAAGTAAAAAAATGTAATTAAATAATTTTTTATTTTTTTTGGTTGTTTTTTATAAATATTTTTTTACATAATTCTGCCCTTGATCTATTAATTGTTTAAAACCTTTTCACCCTCACCCCACCCTATATCTTCTTCCGTATAACGCAGTTATTCTGTTTTAATAAAAACCTAATCTGTTTTACTATAATATTGCTGCTACAGTTGCACTATTATCACCAACGTCATTATGACGAAAGACCGCAAATGACTTTCGTTACATACTTTGTAAATATATGCCTAATAAATTCAATAAAATCAGCTGTGCGCCACGTGATGTCCTTCAATGCAAAGCGTGGCATGGTCTGTTT